AGAAAGTGAATTCGATGTGTATTTGAGATTTGGGTTTGTGATCCCTTCACACCTTTCATATTGATGTACTATGGCCAAAGCAAATTTCTTTTGTTTCTCTTTATATCCCCCGAGTGCACACTGCATGGCATATAGGAAGTGTCTAAAAGGAGGGAACAAATGAAGGACTGAAGTCATTAAGGGATGAGTAAATGAAATATTAGAGCTGAAGGAGATTTTACAAATCTAATTTTAGAGGTCTTAGTTACCATTTTATTTTTGTAGACACAGCTATACAGATTGACTATCCCTTATCCAAAATGCTTAGAACGAGAAGTGTTTTGGATTTCAGATTTTTTGTTTGGAATTTGAAATATTTGCATATATATATAACGATGTGTCTTGGATTAGACCCCAAGTCTCAACATCAAGTTTATTTATGTTTCATATACACATAGCCTGAAGGTGATTTTATACAATATTTTTGTTAATTTTTTGCATAAAAAAAGTTTTGGCTGCAATTTGAGAACTGTTACATGAGGTCAGGTATGGAATTCTTCACATATGGTATCATGTCTATGCTGAAAAAGTTTTGGATTTTGGAGCACTTCAGATTTTGGATTTTCGGATTAGGGATGCTCAACCTATAATAGCATCTCCACCTTAGAAGCACTTGCTAGAATAAACTTAAATCATTTAAATAAGATAAATTTAAATAACTAGCCAGGGAAATTTGATTTCATAAAAATGTTTCCATATCAAAACATTTTTGTTCATTTTTGCTTTGCTTTGTTTTGTTATTGGCCATGATCTTAATATATATTTATATATATTAGAAGTATAGAGTTTTCACTTTTAGAGGGAACACACCATGTATGAAGGAATGATTAGGTTAGAAATTGTTTTTTCAGGTGAACTTTGCCACCATATCAAAAAAAGTAACGTTATTTCAGTTTCCAAAACTAATTTAAATGAGTACTTAATGACATCAATGAAAAATGGAAAGTATGAATTGTGTCTTCTTTGAGGATCTTTTTCTTTAAAAGATGAACATGATTATTTTAACCTGCTAAATGTATATTTTCAAATGTTTCACTACTTGGTATAATAATACCATATTTCTAAACTGACAAAATGATAATTTAGTGAAGCTAGTGTAAGGAAATTATAATATTTACTTACAGAACTCACTCAGAACTGTTTTCGTATCACTTATTTATGCAATTAAAAAGGACAGATACTTTTTAGGCTTTTCTCAATTCCTAAATTAGTTCTCTGGTTAGAACAAATTAGTGCCAAGGAAAATATTTTTTTCTCTTCAATTTTTATTTTAACTTCTGGGGTACATATGCAGAATGTGCCAGTTTGTTATGTAGGTAAACATGCGCCATGGTGATTTGCTGCACAGATCAACCCATCACCTGGGTATTAAGCCCAGCATACATTAGCTATTCTTCCTGACGCTGTCCGTCCCACTGCACCCCCAGCAGACCCCAGTGTGTGTTGTTCCCCATCGTGTGTCCATATGTTCTTAGAAAAAGATATTTTTAAAATAATTTCAGAAGTTGTTATTTCAATTTCCAAAGCCATTGATGCAATCACTTTTGTAGGTTCTTAATATATTGATTAAAACATTGGCTAACATGTTGTTTTTTTAATTTCCTAGAATTGTTACTGTGGATCATAACTGCTAAATATTTCAAATATAATGTTACACTTTTTTGCAATTAATTTACACCAATGCTTAGTATTAAGAACACTTAAAAGAAAATAGCTCAACATGGCATATAACATATTGAGATCTATTATACAATTTTCAAACCAGGTACATGACAAAGTTACCTTATATACCTGGTTATTAGAAAAGAAAAAATTCTCAAAAGGTGCCATTAAGGTTAAATTTAAATTATATATTTGAAATTAAATTATGAACTTTTTAAAGAAAGCCTATACATTTTAATTTTATATTTTAAAGAATATAATAGCTTTACTACACATTAGATTTTCTTAGAACTACCATGTTTGTGGAATTAAATTCCTACATCATGAATGAGACATTACTTTTTACTGGATGCAATATTTTCTTTTATCTTTCTGATGATATTAAAACTAGATTCTATTTAATGCAATTTAAAACATACAAAAGATATAGAAGAATAATATAGCAAACACCAGTACACCCAAAATGCAGCTTAAGAAATAAAACATCACATACTCGAAGTTACCTGAATACACATTCCAGTTACTTTCCTTCCTGCCAGCCTCCCAGAGGTGACCTCCATCTTGAGTCTGGAGGACAACTAAAATGTATTGCCTTATAGATTTGGTAGACAAGTATGAATCCTTAAAGCAACAGTCCCAGACCTTTTTGGACACAGGGACCGGTTTCGTGGAAGACAATTTTTCCACAGAGGTTGGGGCTGAGGGGTGTGGGGAGGATGGTTTTGCAATGAAACTGCTCCACCTCAGATCATCAGGCATTAGATTCTCATAAGGAATACACAACCTAGATCCCTCACATGCACAGTTCACAATAGGGTTCCTGCTCCTATGAGAATCTAATGCCACCACCGATCTGACAGGAAGCAAAGCTCAGGCAGTAATGCTCACTTACCCGTTGCCCACCTCCTGCTGTGCAACCTGGTTCCTAACAGGCCACAGACTGGTACTGGTCCACAGCCCAGGGGTTGGGGACCCCTGCCTTAAAGGAGATATGGTAAAGTTGTTGCATGTATTTATTCAAAGCTTATTAACTTTGTATAGTGTTTTAATGCATGTGGTCTCCTGTAATTTGCTTTCCTTAAGTCAACATTATATTTATGAATTATATCTGTAATGAAATACTTAGCTCTAAGTCATTCATTTTAAGTGATTTTTGGCATTCAATTATATGAATAGTCTATAATTAATCTATCCATTCTCTTTTGGTGAAGGGTTAGATTTTTTCTAGGTTTTGTTTTGTTTTGTTTTTCCGCTACTAACAAGCAATGCTGCTATGAATAATCTGTGCATGTCTCCTAGTGACATGTGCAAGAATTCCTCTAAGATAAATCCCTACAAGCAGAATTGCTGGGTTTCAGGTGGGTTTAACTTCAAGTTTGCTAGATATTGCCAAATTGTATTTCAGATTGGGTTGTATCGACAGTTTTTCTTTTTAAGTTTTTTTTTTTGGTTTTTTTTTTTTTTAATGGTTTCTGTTTTCTCCAATAGTTTTTTTTCTTATTCAGTTGTTTGGTTGGTGTTTGTGTGTTTTTGTCTCTGACTTTCACTGTGAGGGCTTTCCTCAAGTGTCTGGTAAAGGCAAGCCAATCGTATTTGAGGGTAAAGCCCAAAAGAGCCTTCGGAAGTCCTGTGTGAGTGATGGGGACATGGGACAGGTGTGAACTGTGGGCTTCACTTGAATACAGAGTTTCTTAACAGTGGCACTACTGACATTTGGGGCTGGATAATTCATTGTTGTGAGGGCTGTTTTGTTATTCTGTGCATTATAGGATGTTTAACAGCTTCCCTAGCCTCTACCCACTAGATGCCAGTAGCATCATGCCCCTCCAGTTATGGAAATCAGAAATGTCTCTATCCCTTGGGGAAGCCCACCCCCACCCCGTTCCAGTTAGTACTGCTGCTCTAGGATAAATATATGGCGAATATAAATTTATTCGCCCCAAATTTAAATCTCCAACGGTCTTTTCTCTGGGGTCATTTGCTTCCTCCAGACAGGCTTCCTCAGCTCCCATCTTTGCCAGAGGAAAAAGAAAAAAACAGGGAAATCAACTTGATGAGGGTCCTAGTACAGCCATTTTCTCAGTTCCTCCATTTTCACTCTGTACGCCATGCTTGCCCTTGGCTGTGTTTGGTATCTCTGAGTCCAAGCTTCCTGGTTTAAATTCCGCAGATGTTCAGCCTCCTGTCTCCATAGGGTAGTCTCACTTGCCTGAATGCGGTGGGAAACAAGGATTTGTATTTTTTTTTTAACCTCTGTAACTAATATTGCCATGATTATCCTTTGAAGTTTATCTTTGTGCATATCTGAACTCTTTATGATAAATTCCTAAAAGTGAATTTTAAAATCTGCGCAATTTGACATACATTTCTCAGTGTACGAATTTTAACCCTTGATGCATACTATGCATAATAATCTAATCACAGTTCTTTTTTCCTTTGGGCAGCATTTACATTTAGAAAGTCTTTCACCTGCTAGTTTCCCTGTAGCCTTTTCTTTATCAGAGAATAAAAGTAAAATAAATTAAAAGTCCTCGATAAAATATTAGAAAAAAGTATTTTGTTTTCCTCTCCTCTGGTTAACAAATTGTTTAGAAAAGATATTAGAGAGGAAATCTTCCATTAGTGAGAGAAAAAATACTTGCATAAATGTAATCTGTAAAAACCTTGATTTAGAACTTTCCTTGTATAAAATACCTCTTACTGAAGCATTTACACTGAGTGGGAAGTGATTGAGCCAATTGCTAAGATAATATTCTGTATACCTTTACCCTATCTGTTGAGATTTCATCATTTATTATTTTCCTATGCAAATAGGTAATTATTTTCCTAATCTTTTAAAAGCATGTTTATTTAGAATGAACAGTGTAAGATTTGGGATTTTTTTTTTAAGAAAATCCTAGTAAACCATGTTTTAATTGGCAACTCTGTTTTACTTGAACTGATTAATTGTGTCTTAGTAGTGAGAATTTGAAAATTATAATTTGAAGAGGATTTAACATACATTTTCATCTTCTAAGAAAGTTTCTATTGACCATTTTTCCTCCCCCAACCTGTTTTTTAGATATTTATCTTGCTTGTGGGAAATAACCAAAAACTTAATTTAATTTTAGTTAATTAATAAAGGCAAGTAAAAAGAAAGAAAAAGAAAGGAAGGAAGAAAGGGAAGAAGTTTGTTTGTTTGTTTGTTTGTTTGTTTGTTTTTTAAAGGGTGCCCCAGGAATCACCTTTATAAAAATCAAACCCATCTTTTCCCAACACTGTCTTCTGTACATGAGAAGCATCTTAAAAATGAAACTGACCTTTTAGGCGGGACAGGGAAGATGACTTTAGTGCTTATCAGTCTTGTCGATGTCCTTTTCTTATTTTTGTCCTCTGAATGTACTTGACTGAAGAAAACACCATTTTTAAATCTCTTTATATTGAAGATATATAAAGAGTAAGAGTTTAGGCAATGCTTTCATCTAGTGATTTCTTGTCCTTGGTTTTAGGCAGGGCCATCAACAACTGAAAAAGAAATCATTACTTCCTGCAGCAAAATTAAAATTAAAAATTAATAAACTAGTAAACAGTCATGGTTCACCTACCGTGGACCAGATCCTTTGCCAACAGGCTGCATTCATACATAGACAGATGAATGACTAGAGACCTGATTACAAAGATAGACAAACCATTGATGGACATTTGGATTGGTTCCAAGTCTTTGCTATTGTGAATAGTGCCACAATAAACATACGTGTGCATGTGTCTTTATAGCAGCATGATTTATAATCCTTTGGGTATATGCACACCAACATGGCACATGTATACATATGTAACAAACCTGCACATTGTGCACATGTACCCTAGAACTTAAAGTATAATAATACTAAAAATAAATAAGTAAATAAATACATAAATATAGACAAACCAACACTTTCATGGATGTTACCTCATTTTATGCTCACCAATGCTCTATCAGTCAATGATGTCCCCATTTTATAGACAGAAACACAATCTGTTAGAAGTTATGTGGTTAAGTGACTTGCCAAAGGTCAAATGGCTAAGAAGTATGTATTTTTGGGATATAAAGCTGATGGGTAAAGCTTGAAAAATGAGACAGTTTGCTAATTGTAAAGGTTTGGTCATTAATCAACATTCATTCATCTAACAAATTTTTATTGAGCACCTTCTATGTACTGGGCATTTTGCTAGGTGCTGGGAGACTACATAACTAATATAAAGTCCCTGCCCTCATAGAGCTTACATTTAGTGGAGGAAAGAGACAATAAATACAGCAAATAAGATAGTGATGCATAGTGACAAGTGCTAGGAAGAAAAATAAAGCAGGCTGAGTGGATAAAGAGTGATTATTAGAAGGATGAGAAACCATTACTCCACCTGAAGTCACAAAATAGATAAAGCATCTTTTCCTTGCAGCTCAAAGAGAAAGCCATGTTTTATGTTTTACTGCTGTCATATTTTATCCACAGTGAAGCCAAACATGAAATTTAAAGAATGAAAAAAACTTTAATAAGGTGGCTTCAGTTTTGTCTTATAGTATTATAGTCCATCTTCAAACAATGTCTACATTACAGTCTATTTTTTTCTAGCATGAATCAAAAGAAATTCCAGTGAGGTCATTATTAGTGTCTGTAAAATTCTAATGGAAAAAAACTTGTAGAAATCTGTCTTTGAAAGTCTGTTCCCAGAGTTCAAGTGGCAACTGTTTTGTGACTTGACAAGATAGTTCATGGCTTTTAAAGACAAATGACTTGTTCTGCTTTATGTGGTTTTCTGATAAGCCTTGAGAGAATTTTTTAAATTATACTTTTAGTTATGCATACATAATTGCCATTCATCTATGACATAAGTATGGCATTTGGTATCTACTGCTTTTACAGATAGGTTAATGCAGTGAACTCCTTGGTCATTCTTTAGCCCTTTCTGAAGACAGGAGGTAACAATAATGTACTTACCTCTTGTTAAAAGCTGCACATGTGACTGTTTTACTTATTTTTATAATTCCAGTGTTTGCTTGCAAATAATCTTCCCTTGTAATATAAAGACATTGGAGTGCCCTAAGCAGAGGGGACGGGTAGAGCTTTCAGGAAAGCAGTGATGAAACTGATATCCCTGGACAATATCAGCATATCAAGGGAAGCAACTTTCATCCTCACCCTTGTTCTTGACTTGCACTCCAGTCCTTGTCCTATATACTAGTGTTGCCCAATGAGTGGAATCCAGTACTGTGGCATTTGAAAAGATTTTAGTTGGTACAACAAACATTTTTAATGATTATATGCTTATTTTAACATATAGTAGAAAAGTATAAAACTGGTTATATACTTTTAACCAGAGAAATAAACCCATTTCTCAAAAGTCATGCTTAGAAGCAACGAGGAAGTGAAAGAAAAGTGAGTCCACTTAAAGTACTAGGTTAATAATAGCAGAGATAGAACCCAGCTATGGCAAAACTGTGGCAGTAGTGCATGGATGACCGAGGGCTAATGAACACAGCCCTCACTGTGGTCTTCAGTCACCTTGAGCCCTACGATTCCCTGTGGTCCTTTTCTTCATTTTCTGATAACCTCTTCTCTTCACATCTCTTTGCTGCCCATGGGAGATTTCATAGCCTGGCCCTGTCCTGTGGGAGCCCCACTAGCGTGAGTCTCAGGGGGCTGACATGTGGCTACACTGAGCATTGTTCAATCCTTGGAGGCCTCTGTCTATTGAACTTACTTTTTTGGTTGAGGTAGATAAAGACCCTTCCAAAGTTTCCCTTACATGCAGGTGTATCCTACATTTGTGAGGGCTCCTTTCATCCTTTCTTGTTTACACACTCAAAGGAGGATGTTTCAGTGTTGCCTGTGGACTAAAATTGAATGGAACATCTTGTGCTGGACTTCTGGGGCCTGAAATTATCTTGGGCAGCTTCAAAGATTTTCATTATTTAAGTAATAATTGTCATATGAACCTGTTGTTTGAATGTGATACTGTCTTTTTCTTTTGCCAATACACATTCTCTCTCTCTCTTTCTCTCTGTCTCTGTCTCTCTCTCTCTCTCTCTCTCTCTCTCACACACACACACACACACACACACACAAAACACCTCCCTTAGTGGTGGCTGTACTACTCCATCTGATCCACTTTTCCATTCTATTGAAATCCACTGTGTACTGTGCACATTCATTATTCAGCATCAGGTGTAATCTAGTGAATTATAGAGGAAAAGGATTTGGAACCAGACTGAATATATAAAAGCCTACAGAATCACTTGTGTTTGTTTATGCAAAAAGGAAAAAAGAGAAAAGCCACAGTAGTTTATGAAACTGAATTGTCCTATAGCTTCAGAATGGCTAGATCTAAGGAGGCCTCAAGCAGTACCATTTAGCCTTTACCTCTTTCTGTGTGTCTCTTGCATTCAACTTTGCTTTTCTGTCAGTTAGTTTTATTCTCAGGCAGGTTCCTTGTACAGTAAACAAGAAAGCCACCAGTAGCTCTTAACTTACATCTCATCAGCTTACCATCCCCAGAGGAAAGACAACTCCTATTTCCAGTGTTTCCTCCAACAAGCTCAGCATTTCACCAGTTTGAGTCAAGTGCCCAGCTTCTTACCAGTCCCTGCAAACCCTACAGCCTGGAGGTGGGGCATACTGAATGAATGGGCCTGAATCATGCATCCTCATGAAGCCGAGGGTGGGATCCATTCCCTACTAAATCAAATGGACCCACAGTAGGAGAAAGGGTGTATTAGTCAGAGCTCTCCAGAGAAATAGAACCAATAGGAGAATGTGTGTGTGCGTGTGTCTGTGTATCTGTATAAAGCTACATGTATAAAGCTAGAGAGAGAGAGAGAGAGATTTACTATAAGATATTAGGTTATTGCTCACACAATTATGGAGTCTGAGAAATCCCATGATCTGGCATCTGCAAGCTGTAGACCCAGAAAAGCTGGTGTCTGTCTGGAAATTCCAAAGGCCTAAGAATTGGAGCACTGAGGGCAGTAGAAGATCAAGGTCCCAGCTCTCTCCTCTGCCTTTTTATTCTGTTCAGGTGCTCAGTGGGTTGGATGATGCATACCCACATTGGAGAGGGCTATCTGCTTCATTCAGTCTGCCAATTCATATGCTAATCTCTTGCAGAAACACCCTCACAGACACACCCAGAAGTAATGTTTAACCAGCTATCTGGGTATCACTTGGCCCAGTCAATTTTTTGCATCACATAAAATTAACCCAAACAAAGAAAGCCTCTAAGGCACTTGGGATGCTGTTTTAAAAAGAGGAGGGGTAGGTGCTGGGCAGGAGAAAATATCAGATCCAGGTGAGAGCCTTACACATTGGATGTGGCCAGAAGTGGAAGCCATTGTTTATGATGAAGATTATATTAGGTGTGCCACACTGACAAGCCCTTTCCCCATCATGTCAATAGGCCTGTGGCATTTATTCCCAGCAAACTGTAATAAACATGACGTCATCTATCACACTCCCCTACTCTGTAGGAAAGTGAATATTCTGAGCATTAGTTAGAGATGTTGAAAGAAGTGCCTAATAATTCCTTAATATCTAAAAATGCTTTCAGCTGCTCCCCTTACTAGTCAGAATATCAAATCATAGGAGCTGTATCAATCTTACTGAGACTAAACTGAGTTAACTAAGAATATGGCGTTTTGAGAAAAGCTCAAAATAGCAGAATTGTAGAATAAGTGGCTGATTTGTTTGCTCTTTTTTTCCTCTTTCAGGAGTCTTGGTGTAACCACTACACTTCTCCATGGAGAAGGGCACTGGCTAATGAGCCAGGAAAGCTGTACCGTTTACAGCTTAGGCCACTTAATTCACTTCACTCAGCCTCAGTTACCTCAACTGTAAAATGGCAGTGATAATATTTGTCATACTGAAAATGTGATGAAATAATAAAAGCAAAACAACGAGGAAAATAGCTGGGGATTAAAGCAGTGCTTACTATGCTAGTTTTTCTCTCAGTAAAGGGACTTTCATTATAAATTTAGAGTTTTTATAAATGTATATTAATTTGTTTCATATAATCTAAAGTTTCATGTTTGGGTAAAATTTGGACTGAGGTAATATATGTTATGTACTCAATAACAATTTGAGCTTAACACTATCAGACTGTATTTATTCAAGTAACAGATCAAAAGAATTTAAATTCTGGTATCTCTGAGCATGACATCCAGGGACATGCAAAATAACAGGCATTCCTCTGGCTTAGGGAAGGACATGTATGTTGGGGCCAGATAAGAAATAATATTTAAAAATTATTTTAAAATTTCTGCAAATGCACTCCTAGTGCATTTCCTAAATGAAAGCTATTCACCAGCAACACATTCTGCTTTATGTCCTTAAAATGAAGATAAAAACAAAACTCATTCTAAGGAAATGTTCTTTCTAATCAACTTAACTGAAATGCAGCTTTTTTCTTTTTCTTTGTTTATTTGTTTTTCTTTTATGCAAGTCTTTTAAAAAAGTAAACTTTCCTACAGCTTTTCCGTAGACCCCAGTGACTAC